ATACATACATACATACATACATACATACATACATACATTACATACATACATACATACATACATACATACATACATACATACATACATACATACATACATACATACATACATACATACATACATTACATTACATTACATTACATTACATTACATTACATTACATTACATTACATTACATTACATTACATTACATTACATTACATTACATTACATTACATTACATTACATTTACATTACATTACATTACATTACATTACATTACATTACATTACATTACATACATACATACATACATACATACATACATACATACATACATACATACATACATACATACATACATACATACATACATACATACATACATACATACATTACATTACATTACATTACATTACATTACATTACATTACATTACATTACATTACATTACATTACATTACATTACATTACATTACATTACATTACATTACATTACATACATTACATACATACATACATACATACATACATACATTACATACATACATACATACATACATACATACATACATACATACATACATACATACATACATACATACATACATACATACATACATACATACATACATACATACATACATACATACATACATACATACATACATACATACATACATACATACATACATACATACATACATACATACATACATACATACATACATACCATACCATACCATACCATACCATACCATACCATACCATACCATACCATACCATACCATACATACATACATACATACATACATTACATACATGCATGCATGCATGCATACATACATACATAACATATATATATATATGTATAGCATATATATATAACATATATATATATATGTCTATATAACATATATATATATATATATATAACATATGTATATATATATGTACAATATATATATATATATATGTACAAAAAGGAATTTTCACCCGCAGGTCCCCCGACTTTCTGGGACCGGTCCCCGGAACTTCTGCTCCACGGACGCGTGTCACACGTGCCGCGCCACCCGGGAGGAGGCGGGCCCCGAACTGGGCGTCAGGTCGGACTCGCAGGCGCCGGAGTCCACCTGGTTTCGGTTTCATCGAAGTCGATGGCTCCGGGCGGCGCCATGTTGGGTTTTGGGCCCGTCTTTGGGCCAAAACAAAACAGCAAAACCCGAAGAAAAAAATGCGGAAAACGCAACACACCAGAAAACACAACAAAACAGGGGACTCCAAATTTGTGTTTTGTTTGGTTTGTGTCTGTTTTTTTGAGGGCACCCCCGCTTCCCCCCGCCTTCTTCGCAGGCCGTTTGCTAACCGCGAGTTTGGGTTCCTGGTTTGAACCCCTACTTGTTGGCCTAACTGCCAAGGAGGAAGCTGATCAACTTCTCCAAAAAGGGTAACAATTTCTTGGGGGGACCGCCCAAAACCGCTGCTTTCCCCTTTGGGTTCCTTTAAAGCCACCAAACGGCTCAGACATTTACCATCTTGGCACGGCAATGTGCCAATTGGGCCATGTGGACAATCTGCCTTTCTGTCATAACAAGATGGGTCATTCCCACTACGTTATCACTGTAACGGGAATTGCGCCGGTACTGCGGGGGACAAAATCCACACATATGGCACCGTTTGGCAAGCGGTTGATCCCCATATTTTCCGCAGCTTCATCCGTCCCAACCAGGCTTCTGTCCAACTATGTAGTTAAATATGCATGTACAGTATACTTGTACATGCATGTATGTCCCATGAAAATACAAATCTGTGTATGCATAGTTCCAGTACAAGCTTCATTTGGCACATGTAGATATACTGATGTATCACATACACATGGACGTGAATACATGCATTTGACAATGGCTGATAGCATGTGGATGGCTAATACTGTATCTATATCTAGATATCTCCCTATATATATATATATATATACGCCCCCACAGTTGACAAGTCGGTGGTGTTCAGGAAGTGACTGGGACAAACTCATCACGATCGCGTCATTCTAATCTCTAATGCACATGAATTGCATCTAACTGAGCTTGTCTTGAAATCGGGGAAGCCATGGCAATTTTGACTTCCCCTTTAGACCAGCAACTGGTCAAAAATGGGTTACCCTCAACAAGGATCGGGTGCATCGCATGAGGGAACCAAAAAAAAAAAACGGGTTGGTGATTGTATTCATCTTTAAAAACAAAAGGACCGGGTCTCTGCCAGGTTCCATGTCAAAAGGGCGGGAGGGTTTCCCGTTTTTCTCCCAACCCCTACGTTTCCTTCCCAAGCGACACCCCACTCTCCCCCACTCTCCGCCCCGCCTCAGCCTCAGGCTCCAAGGCGCTGCTTCCGGGCCTGGGCCGCCGCTTCTCCCGGGGCGCCGAGGGCCTGACGCGATGCGTGGCCATATGGCGAGATGGTGATCGGTGGCTCCAATAGGTGGCGCGAGATGACACGAAAATCTCCTGAAACAAGTCAAACTTGGCTGTGGGTCAAAATTTCGTACTTTCAGTGAACATCCCAATCCAACCACTCAAAAAAGTTCTAAAACGGGTGTTGAATTCACCTACCCCCAAAATGGGATCCCATTGGTTTTGACCCACAGCCACGTGGGCTTCGTGGAAAGGCAGGTTTTGGGCTTGCTTTCGCGTGCGCAAGGAAACTCAGATGTGTGGGGATTCCCGGACTTTGGAAACGAGCTCCTTCGTCTCTTAAGCCTCGAACTTTTCTGTGAGGAAGTGGACCACCAAAGTGGAGGGAAATGTCCGTGTCTTTCCCTAGGGAAGGATTCTGAGATAAACATCGCTTGGTTGACTCCCAACAGGAAAGCTGGGCGGCTTGAAACGGAACGTTGGCGAATAGGAACGAGTTCGGATTGCCATTGCAGCGTCCAGGAAAAGGCAAGGACCCCTTTCGCTCAACACCACAGGCGAAAAACCCAGAAACGAACGAACGTCTGTAACTCTTTCAAACAGTGCAGAAACCGCCTTTGCTCTCAGGACAAATACACTCCGAATATCCGACAAAAAGACACACTAGAATCAAACAGGCGAAAGCAATGATTTATTAAACAAAACAAAAACTGTCCCTCTACAATAAACCACTTCGTGGTTTTCCTTATGGTGTTCCTCGAGAAAAACAAATACACCAGCATAGACCCCAGATAGCAGTGCTTGCACACCAGCACCTCCAAAAACAACCCCGCGAAGAACGCCCCCAAGCAAAGCAAGGCCGTCAATCGAGCAAAAATGTGCCCGCACCATCACCCTGAAGAGCACCCCAAACAGACACCCAGCCGTCAATCTTGCGAACATCAACCAGCACCCCAAACAGAATCCCAAACCACCACCTAAGTTGCATGCCCCCCTTGCACCCTACCGTCAAGATGCAAACATGCGCCTGCACCGTCACCTGCATGCCCGATAGCACCCGAGCGTCAATATCGTAAAAATGCGACCGCACCGTCACCAGCACCTCAAGCAGCTCCCCACAAACTGCGTCCTGCAGCACCATCAGCACCACCACCCCAAACTGCATTCCCCCCTGCATCCCACCATCAAGATGCAAAAAAATACGCGCGCACCGTCATCCTCCAAAACAGCACCTGCACAAGCACCCCAAACTGCATGCCCCCTAACACCCTACCGTCAACCTTGAAAAGATGCGCCCGCACTGCCATCAGCACCTCAAACAGCACCCCAATCAGCACCTACACCAGCACCCCAAACTGCACGCCCCCTAGCACCAGCCCATCAATCTCGCAAATCACTTTCCCCTCTTTATTAGAAGTTAGAACCCCTATAGCTTTCAGCTCTCGACAAAAGAACACCCGGTCTAGAGCGCGACTGCCTTCTTGGCAAGGGCATCGAGGGAGAACGGGTCAACTGGGAGCCTGGCAAAAGCAGGCTCTCCAAACGTGGCCATGAATTTTGATTAGGGACCCTCCGAAATTTGGGTGCGGAGTCATGTCCTCCTCGCACATTTCTTTGGGTGGGTCCCCACCATGTCCTGCCGAAGGCAGACGTTTAGAAGGCGTGCTCAGAGTGAACTTTCCGGACCAGCTTCCAAGCCAGCCCAGGCCCAGAAGAAGCCAGCGATTTGACGGAAACCGAGGGGGAAGCCGCACCTTAAACAGCTGCGATGAATTCATGTGGTGTCGTTGTTTTTGCGCCGAGTAAAAGACCCATGTAGAATAGAAATGTCTAAGATGAGGGGACCCCCGCACAATGCATGGACGGTCCATAAGCCTTGTGTAAAACATCAAGAGTTGGCGGGGAAACCTTGAGGAAATCACCCACTTGGAGCGTAGCCTTGAGACGCCCATAATCCTTAAACATCGACCCCAACCAAAACCCATGTTCAGATACGCGCCCTCCCACATGCAAACCATCGAAACAGAGCCCAGTTTGGTTTCGCGGACACAAAAAGAAGAAAAAGAAGAAAAAAAAGAGGCAATGTCCTTTGAGGAAAACTGCTTGGAAACAAACCCAAGCGAAGCTTGACACTCTCAATAGGCCTGCGCGGACAGGCGCCGGCTCCGACTGGAACAAGGGCATAGAGCACTCCTGACGCACGGATCATAGGGATCCTTACACAGGGCTCCCTATATTTCCCCTTAAAACATCACCCCCACCAAGGGATACCCACCTTTCATGGGCCAAAAAGGTGATGCTTAAAACAGCCAAAAAGGGGAAATATAGGGACCCCTGATACATTATACACCTGAACCTTGCCTTGTACATGGTGGTTTCCCTTTATTTTGGTGGAAAAAGCATGTTTCAAATTGGCAAAATGTATCTTTTAAGGAGCCCTGTCATAAGACTCATGAATCGGCTGACAATGAGTATGACAATAATCCCGATGACCATGGTAAAAACCCGGCCACTTCCTCCATTCCTTCTCTACATGAGAAACAGCGCTTCCCTGAAAGGCGTCCTTTCGCTTTTCCTTTGAAACAGCTCCATCAAGATACCCTCGCACAAAGGAACACTCGTATACCAAGAAGCCCGAGCCTCGCCAGGCAGTTCGCGGGATCGGCCGCCTGGCGGCCTCGGCAAAGGAAGGCATGGGGAAACCAAGCAGCCCCTGTGTTGCAGGCAAACCAAAGGAAGGTTGCAAAAAACATGCTGTGAAACATGGTTTGCCTGGAAAGGTGGTTGAAACATGCCTTACAAGCAAAAAGCTCAATGAAAACTTGGTTGAAGCATGCTTAAACAAGGACAAGTCTTCCGACCACGTCACTTCCCCTGTTCCCCCCTCTGCTCCGCAGGTGCCCCACACAAGCACACACCATGCGAGACCAGAGCCAACCAAATGTTCCAGCGGACATTCTGGCGCTGCCATACAGTCTCTTGACGTACTGCACTCATAGGTTCGGCCCTCCGTGCAGTGCCGGCTGCATCAGTCTGGCATCGTGTTGGATGCCCGCCTGAAGGCCGGCAAGGCATTCCTCACATAGCCGATGCTCGACAGGTAGGCCAGCAGGGCTCCAAGGTACAAGAGCGCCACGCAGCCGGAAAACAACTTCGACTTGAGGCCTTGTCGACAAGAGGCAAGCAGCCCACATAAGCTGATCAGGATGACTGCTGTCTTCGCCTTGCCCAAGAAGCCAACTTGAGTGAGATTGCTTTCACCAGCTGCTGCTGTCCATTCTCGCAGGGCACTGATGAAAATCTCACGAAGGATAATGAGAACAGCAGGTACAACCAACAACCATCGCGGCGGCGCAACTTCGAATGTCGCTGTGGGCAACAACACCAATACTGCGCAAGTCAAGAGTTTGTCGGCGACTGGATCCAAGAACTTGCCAAATGGTGAGCACACCTTCCATCGCCGTGCCAGGTACCCATCCAGAAAATCGGTCAAGGATGCGGCCACAAAAACGCCGCAGCACGCCGGCGTCCAAGTATAAAAGAGTGCCACCGTGGGTATGACCGCGAGAACCCTCAGTGCAGTCAACACATTCGGCAGGCCGCGCTGCCATGAAGCGCTGCCGGATCTCAGGGCCACTCTTGAGACGAGGATCGTCGCGCCAGAAACGCCCGGCCAGGCGCGCCAGGCGCGCCAGGCGCGCCATCCGCCGGGAGCGCGGACGTCCCATGCTTCGCGTCTCGAAGCGCAGCCCGGCCTGGTGGTCAGTGGGCCCGACCCCGACGTAGATGCCAAATGTGTGGATTGCATCAGCGGCCACATTGGCTACATTGGCTATGGAAGGTCTAAACAAGAGTATACTGAATGTATGGAGTGCAGTGGAGATTGCCTTGGAGAGTGTTTCAGATCTGGCATTGATTTTCACGAACACACGGTTCTCAATGCTCTGTGCGACAGCTGGCTGGAAAACGTCATGTGAGCACAAACGAGAACGGACAACTCAGCAATAGTTAATTTCACAATGAATGCAACAACTCACATTGGATTGTGAAGCAACGCGTCAAGTTATGTTGTCTTTGATGTGGAAATCGAGCCTCGCTGCAAATCGGTAATGCGGCTGCGGACTTCTCTTTCACTTGAAAAGCCTGACGGGCGGAAAGCAAGCAGTGTCTGCATGGACACTGCTTGTAGGTGAAAACCGCGTGGCGGAAACTGGTCTCTTTTGACCAAAAAATGGCAAGCGGTCTCCTGAAGAGACCTCCAACTTGGGAGCCCCGCGAGTGGGTCGAGGCGCCTGGGCTGTCAGGCCGGTGCAAGCACCCTGCGCTTTTTGGGAAAAGTTGCTCCAAGTGCGGCGGAAAATTGCCGCTGGTGAAGGAAACCCTGACTTTGATCGTTTAGAAGGTTTAGACGCTCGGAGCAACCTGGAAGGCTTGCCGCGGGCCCAAGTTTTGAACGCATCCGGGTGTCAAAGCTTGCCACGGCACTGTGGGTGGCTTGTTCGCTTCCCAAAAAACGAGCGAACCCAAACACAGCCAACCAGCCCGCAGTTGTCTCAACGCGGATACCTTCGCTGCAGCTTCAGGCCACGCTCAGCCTGGGCTCCCGGGCTCGGCGGGCTAACCTGGACCTGCGGCACCGGAACCGGCGGCACCGGTGCCACCGGCGCCGCGGGCGCCTCACGAAAGGTGGCAGACTGCCACGCCACTCGCTGCCTGAAACGACCCCAAGGGAATTGGTTTTGGTCTTTGGAGTGGGCCTAGGTTTGGGATAAGTGTAAAGGTTGGTTTGGAGTGCCCCCCCAGGTGACAAGAAAACGAACCCCATTTCCCAAATAGTGATTTGTTGAGCGGGTCGGATACACTCGTCGAACACGGAAGCATGAATTCCAGGAATCCTGCCTCACCCTGGTGCACGCGCAGGGTTCCGTATAGGTCCCCTTCAATCACCAAAGAAAAACTCGATGATCGAAAATCTCCCAAAACAAGTCAAATTTGGCTGTGGGTTACCCCAGTGAACATTCCAATCCCCACTAAAACAGACTAAAATGGGTGGTGCACCTACCCCAAAATGGTACCATTGGTTTTGACCCACAGCCATTTGTTGCTAATAGCTGTGACCGGAAAGCATGGTTTGACGCGTAAGAGCAATGTCTCTGCGCAATCGCCTTAACCGATTTCTCCGGGTCATCTACGTCAGCAATCTTTCTTACAAGTTGCTCCGCGCAATCTGATCAGCACAAATGCCTTGGCTCTCTGCAAGTGCTCTGTGCCAGTACTCTGCTCAAGTACTCTGTGCAAAATGTTCTGCAGAAGCGCACAGGGTTGCACAAGTGCCGTACATAGCAAAAGCCCTCAGCTCCTGAGGTCGACCCGCCCGGTCCACGCAAAGGGTTGCACGGGGAAGTCGAAAAATAGCAGCAGTCCTCGGTTTTGAAAGTCAACATGCCGAATCTGCAAAGGGCGAAGATTCTAAGCTCAGAGTGCGGTCGGTCCTGACGCGCAGCCTTTTGTTTCACACACGACGGGTCTTCAGGCGCAGTCTCCCGTTGACATCTCTCGGTCTCTTAGTGACACGTCTCTGGCGCAATGTCTCGGGCGAGTAATATCCCTGTGCGACATTTGCGATTTTCTCGGCGGGAAAAAGAACTACGCGATGCTTTCAGGCCAAGGGCGGCCTTTTGACCCTTTTGCCAAAGAATCGACCCCGCACCTGCGGACACCTTCTGGCTCTTGGTCTTCTAGCAACAGCACTCGTATCTTTTCGGGCTCCCACTAAGCAGAACCCAAACCCTTTGGTTTCAAGGGCGTTGAACCTAGACTCCAAACTCTGAAGGCTTTGGGGCAACAACCCACCCAGCCCAAGCACGAACCCCCAGCAATTCGACCAATTTCCCCTGAAACCAGCCAGCCCAACGAACCAACAAGCACGCGGGGGTCTCCGGCGGCCTCCGTCCAGGTGCCGGGGAACGCCGGCAGAGGTGGCGGTCCCTACATGGCCCGGTCTTTCGGGGGAGCCACCTGCCTTTCTGGGATTAAAAGCAAACCGAAAGCAAAACCGGTAATATGTTTACTTAATCTGTTTTGGGGGGGGGGGTGTCCCCTAACAAACCACACACCCAATCTGGATGTGACTGTTTCTTACGGGTACCCCTTTTGCTGGGCTTGTTTGCGGGAAACCAAGAGCTGCAAACTCCAACATTTTAGAGTGCGAATTTGGCACATCAATGGGTACCCTCCCTCCCAACATGGCACCTCACAGGGAATTGATCAAGATTCAAGAAGAGCTCCGTAGAAAATCCGAAGAAACTCGAAGGAAACCATCTACTTTGGAGACTCCTTGAGTGGAAATATCAGGGTCATCAGTGTCACCAACCGTTCTTAAGGGTCCCCGTTCAGATTCACAGCCCTTTACTGGGGGCCCAAACCCACAAAAACATGGATGGTGTCTTTTTCCCCCTGTACGCCTGCCAAAAAAGACTCGAGGCAGGGAAGGGGGCGCATCGCAATTGACCCTTGCCACTCACTTTGCACCTCACGGGGACATGGTTCCCGGAGAAAAATTGCTCCGGGCGCCCTCCAAAAAGCGCCAACCGCGGGAAGGGCAGCGGAGACTTTGTGGGGGAAGTACTACCCGCCTGCGTAACATGGAACCCACCGCGTAGGAACCTGTATTTGGCCATGGGTTCCATAACCTATGGCGATCCCATTTCGGGGTGGGTGAACATCCATTTGCCGCCTTTGATGTTCACCAGGACCAGGGGTTTTGACAACCACAGCCATATGAACGTCTGCTAGGACGTCAGGTTGCCGTTTCACCCATACCCTTCATGCCAAAAATCCGAAGCCGATCCATTGCCTCCCGCCGGGCGGAGCCAGGCCGCACCGCCACTTTGAGGCACGGCTGCCTCAGATGAGGATTATTTTGTGTTGTTCACCCCCAAAAGAAGCATCCACACTGAAGATGGTTTACAAATGGGCTCCAAAACAAGCATCCACACTGAAGATGGATGTTAAAAAGAAAAGTACAAAGGGATAGACTTAGCTCACCGCCCTGGAAAAATGTGCGAATGTTTTGGCCTCATGTCCAGTCTTAGACGAATCCAATAAAGGTCTGAAATCCCGGCTGAGGGGTTGTGGGCCATGATGGTTGTGGCCCCCGATCTGCCGAAGGAAACCAAACTAGAGCTTACCCCGCGGCTCATGTGCCAAAAAGGAGCTCCGATTCGGAATGTGACAATGTTCCCCTCTTGGGCGGAATGACATCCTAACAGCTGTTCCAAATAAAGCATTCATGAACATCATAGGGAAAAACATGAATAGCACTATCTACCATAGTACAACTAATTGGAACAGTGTCAAACCAAAACCCAAGCGTCTGAGTACTGGTACGGTACCGTCTATTTTGCAGCTTCACAAACCCAACAAAAACCACAAGGGGCCCGCCGTTCGCCTCGGGGCCCAGAAGGCTTCCCACGTACGCGCACATCAGAAACCGGATCGGCCAGGCGGCGATCGCCGCGGCGAGGGGTCCGCATACCCTGCGGCGCCCCAGGCAGTTGGACCCATTCGCCCGCAAACTCGTTGCCAGGCACGACAAGTTCTGGTTGAAAGACCACAGCTCAGTGGTTGTTGGTCTACTTGGTGGTTGTTGGTCTACTTGTTCATCCCCTCTTAGTGTACGCGAAACTATCCCCAGGGATGTGTTTCAATTGGGAAACGCACGTCGCCCGGAGCCGTTTGAGTTGTCTCAAATGTCTCAAACTGAACCATTGGGGTCATACTGTCGGGGAGCATGACCCCCCCCCACGAGCGCCATCCTCTATGGGACCCTCACAAGGGTTGCAAAGATCCCTACTAAAGGGTCCATGACCAGCTCCGTCCCGTCCAGGTAATAGGGTGTTTTGACCGTAAAGGGAAACCACACAGAAACCGCACAGATTCTGGGCTTGTAAGCCCAGCTTGGCTGCATGGACAAACTGGTCCTAAACGTGTACTGGTTTGTTGGACATACATCAACATGGCTACGTCTTGAAAAGTTGACAGCCCGCCGCAGTTGCGACCCTAAATGTTGTAAGTGATTCAACCACATCCAACCGCAAATAGCATACAAAAGTGTTGGGTTCCACTTGCTCCCCTGGCGATACTTATGGGCTCAAACAACTTTCAGCTCGCTTTGGACTCCTGGCTGCGGTTATAATACATCACTGAACATTGGCAAAACAGCCGGCCATGGTGAATCAGCATAGTAAATCAGCTACAAGCCGTGGCAAATCAGCATAGGGACCCCCACCATACCGGGTAGATTCAAAGCACAGCCATCGCGAGCGAGAGGCGAAGGGCAAAGCACGTGAAGCGTCAGACAAACCCACGCTGGCCGTCCATGGCCATGTTTCTCTTATGGGTGCTCAACAGATAAAGCTCACCTGTGAAGACTCTCAACTGAGCGGGTTCCCTGAGCAAAAATCCAGCACTGGTTGGCTAGTTGGATGGAAAATTCAATACTTGTCCAAAAGATCTCGGGGGCGGTTCGGATCTAACAAAGACCGACCTGAACACAATTCCCTGAAGGCTCCATCTAGTCAGCTAAACATCAGCAAAGGAGGACCAACCCTGTGTTTTGGGGGGCTTGGGAAGGGAACTTTGGCCATGTAAACCAGTAGGTTCAACAGTGTTGAACCCCCAGAGATCCCCAGATACCGCTGAGCTACTCACTCCTCCACTCCAAAAATCCTAGCGCTCAGAGCTTCGCAAAGGCCAGGTAGCCGTGAAGTCCCCACTTCATCCGAGCGGTCAAAAACTCCAAGGGTGGCTACTTGCAGGTCCAACCAATCGCAAAAGTATTGGACGGCAACCT